AAATTACTCATTATTATTTTTACTTAGAATTTTTTTTTAAAAAAATATACTATTAATACAATAGTATTAAACAGGAAATGAAAACTATTGTGAAAAACTTAGAAGGAAAATTTCATTTTTTGACAGGAGAAAATTTAAAATGCTGATCAGCAATTAAATTCATCTCTTATAAAAATTAGCTAAATATTAAATACATGTAGAAGATTTTTTAGAGTAAAAAGTGAAGACAACACAATTAAAATAATGAAAAAAAATTATTTATATGCAAACAATTTCATATTAAATACACATAATTCCCTTACAAATTCTTTGAGTGTAGTAATCCATAAACCAAGGCAAAACATAACTAAAGTCTTAGCTCTAAAAATTGGTAATCAAAAGACCAAATCTGTGAATACAATTAAGTACCTTAGGTTGACAATCGACAAGAAATTCTCCTGGATTCCTCGTCTACAAAATATTAAACGTCGTACTATCAATAGCTAACTGCCTACGACCGTATGTATGTATATAACTAGGGCTTAAATTCCTATATAACACGCATTCTTCTAAAACAGTCATATCAAAAATGGTAAATTACGGAGCTGGAATTTGAGAGTAACCAAGGATAGTGAGAAAGCTTAAATTCAATTCAAAGGCCTTTTACTCTTTAAATTACTCGAGCAGCTTCAAATGTAGCTCTTGATATTTTAAATGGTACTCTTCCACTAGCAGTCAGTGCAGAAATGGAAAGTATCTACATGAAAGTCCTTCAGCTTAACCAATCTGCAAGAATTTAACAAACAAACCTTTCTGCCATCCAATTATGAAAAGAAAATGAACCCCAATCTTATTCATCTAGCGCTTCGCTTCAGTAAAATAAAATTTCCTATGTCTGATGAAAATTCAAGTAGTTCATCTCCAATTGCATATACTGATGCTCAAAAATTGAAGGAAAAGTTGGTTCAGCAGTCTATTTTCAAACTGCCAGTACTTATATTTATACGTATGGCTAATTATGCTTATCTGTTATTTTTGTTACACCAAAACAGATGCTGCATTTAATTTGCAAACTGTATTGAAACTATACTGTAATGTCTTTATCACTATTTTTAATAAATACTGGATGCGGGGCGTACGGTGGAATTGCACGATGTACCATAATAGGTAAACTCTAGATCCCCTCGAAAGCTTCAGTTGCTAATTTCCTCAACCTTTCTTTTTATAAGAGTTTACAAGGTTGCATTTCCCCCCTTTCTTTTCTTTATATAGAGTTAGTATAGGAAAGCATTACCAGTTGACCCATGGTACATCGTTGTTGTTTATAGACTTTTACCTGTACATGTACCAAATTTGGTGGCATTCCAGATGCTAGATTGATCAACAGGTTGCTCTGATTAGTGTCAGTTTAAAAACAAACACCCTGCATGTGAAAACAAATTTCACATTACCTTATCCGCATTTTCTGCAGAAAAACGTTTTTGAGAGGTAATATTAACCCGGGAAGACGCGCGTGGGGTGTTTCGGCACCCCACGCTAAACAAAATCGTCTGTGATCTCCCCCCCCCCATAATCCGAAATGGTTAGGTCCATCAGTAGCTGCTTCCAAGATAATGTTCTACACGTCTCAAGTGGAAACGGCAAATTCCGAGCATTTATTGTGGTTTAAATAATCACCCCACGCGCGTTTTCGTGTTGCTATGTTTTAGTGTGAGGCATGGTGTATTCAAGTCGTTCTGTTCGGTCTCTTCCTCATTTGACGTATGATCAAGAAATGATGAAAATTCTTCAAAAATTATTACAGGAGGCTTCGTCCGATAAAGATTCTGTAAAAGAAGAATTAGGAGATTCAGATAATGAAGATATATTTAGTGATCATTAGTCTGTATCAGAAGAAAATTGCGACTTTTCAGAAGACATTCCTTATATCAAACTGACTATTTTATATAAGATAAACCAATACAGTGGCAGAAAGGACCCTTTCGAGGTCAACGATGCATGCGTCCCATAATATCATAAAAAATTTGCCTGACAATACACATATATCTAAAGATGTATCTTCACCCATCGATGCATGGAACCTATTATTTAATGACACAATGATGGTGAAATGCTGTAATGTTTATGTAAAAAATATTTCGGGAAATTTTAAAAGAGAAAGAGACGCACTGCTTTTTTAGGGCACTTATACACAGGGGCGTAGCTAGAATTTCCCGCGCCCGGGGACAACTGAAGAATTTGCGCCCCTTTCTGTGTGCCAAGAATGGAAAACATTTCATTAAAAAATTTCGTAGCATTAGTTTGGCGCCCCTTGGATGCTTCGCCCGGGGACAGATGTCCCCCCTTGCCCCACCCTAGCTACGCCACTGCTTATACATAGCTGAATTTCACAAATCTTCCCATGCATATGTTTGAGATTTATGGCCAACTGATGGCACAGGATTGGATATTTTTTGCAAAACTATGAACTATAAGCGTTTTCGTTTCATTCTTCGCGCCTTATAATTTGATGATGTCGGAATACGGGATAACAGAAGAAAGAGTGAAAAATTAGCTCCAATAAGAGATTTATTTGAAAATTTTGTCAAGACCTTACTGCAGAGTATACCTAAGAAACCTACAAGATATGGTATAAAGATATTTGCTATGGTTGATTCTAGAACCTTCTATACTTTCAACATGGAACTCAGCAGCCAGATGGGTTATACAAGAAAGTCAACAGTTCTAGTGAAATAGCAAAGCGTATCTTAGCTCCGTTATAGAAATCCGGAAGGACCTTTACCGCAGACGATTGGTATATCAGTTATAAATTGGCCAATTTCTTACAGAAAATGATTTGATAAAAAACAAACAAAGATAAAAAATCATAATGCTGGAGATGTTACATGTGCTCAAGCCCAAAAGACAGAAAATCAAAAACTAATGTGTGCAGTGTAAAAAAAAAAAAAAAAAAAATCAAGAGCACTGTGAAATAGATGCTTCATGTATAAACTACAACATATCTAATGCTTTTTGAGCCCAATTGATTTGAAAATTAATTATATAACTCGTTGTTCATGTAATAATTCTGCATAATTTGAATTATAATTGCATTCACAAATCAAAAACAAAAATTTCTCATAGACATCAATGATTCCTACTCATCTAAAAAAAATGATTTATTTGTTTTTAATTTTGAAATTAACGTTATTTTTTAAGCTATTTTATATAATAAATGTTGCAATTTATATAGAATGCATTCTTTTACTGAATTGCAATAATATGTTTATTTTGTACGTTATTTAATTGCTTGGGGGGTGTTGACATCCCATGCACGTCCTCCTGGGTTAATAAAAAAGTATTCGCGAAACAACGTCAAAATAACCTCCTACCGATTTATCTACGATTTTTTCGATAGCTACACACAGATATTGGAAATAATTTAACTGATGTAATTGAATGGTAAAAATTAGATTAGTTGATCTTTTATACAAGTTAGTCCAAGTTTGGTATAATTTCATTTCTTTGTTCCAAAAGACCCATTACCACAAGTATGTACTTGCAGCGAGTGATACTCATTAGCCCAAGTAGCACATTCTTTCAGTATTACCGCTGTGTATCCTGTGGCTGGAATTTTTGAAGGTTCATTGCCATAAACATTTTAAGAAATATTTAATGTTTACAATTTTGTTTCTGAGTTGCATCGTGGGTCTTAATTAATAATTTAATGCAATGGAAGTGCACTGCTAACAGATTATATTCAAAAGAATCTAATATATCATTCTTGTAAGGGTGGAAGGATGCTGAGCAAAATAAACCTCAAAAAGGTGTACAGAGTGGAAAATAATTAGGACACCCTGTCCTGATTCTGCCTTTGAGTCATGAAAATATGGAGACATGAATTTAAAGAAATTACAATAATGAGACTTTTAAAGAAATTACATTAACCGACATTAATCATCTGCCATATAAAGCTCAAGAGGAACATGTCGAGCTGTGAAGTCAGACTTAAAACTTGTTTCCACAAAAATCTTTGACTAAATTTTGGATTGGAGCTAGAACTGAATTTACTGTAGCTTCTGATATGGTATTAATGTTCTTCTGCCAATCAGCACCACACACTTATGCAAAATGATTTTTTTCAGCTTTAATGCTTATTAAATCTAAATATTGTTCAGCATTGAAAAACAATGAAGATGCTTTACATCTAGGAATGTCATATATTACACCAAGATTTAATTTGTTATGCTGCAAAAAACCACCACATCCTTCTCATTAAAATGTGATTTCTTGTCATTATTTGTAAAGAAACAAATCCTTAAACTACTTCTTATAAAAAAAAATTAATTATTTATGGAAATACTTTAACCTTTTAACTGTCATGCCCGAAATACTGGTGTTCGAAAATGTCACGCTCGAGTATTTCTCGGGGTAATTTTTTTTTTGAGTGCATCGTATTGTCATACCCGGGAGATGTTTATTTCGGCTACATTTGGTTTTTCCAATAAAAAAATTTGACAATTTGTATACCCAATCATCAAAATAACTTGACAGTTAAAGGGTTAATTTTTATATCTTTATCCTGTATTTAATATCTGGAATCACAGAAAAAACTTTATAATGAAAATGGGTCATGAATGAAAAATGATTAAGAAACACTATCCTAGTTGAATAATTTTGCCTTTGTATATTGGAAATCGAAAGGGTACTAAACATGTAATCTACAAAACACTAGTCAATAACTTAAAATAAACCTGGCAATTAATAAGAAATATGTATTAAGTGGATCAAAACTAAAGAAAATGATCTTTAGGTGAACATTTTTTTCAGAAATTTATTTGACTCAATATATATACAGTTGAGAGGAAAAAATAAAGCAAATGAATGTAGTAAAATCAATCAACTGCATTAAGTAATTAAATGGTACAAATAATTACTGACATTCTAACACAAAAAATTACAGGGAATATGTTTAAAAAAGGCACAAAGATTAATAGATTTTTAATGTACAAAATGTAGAAAAGGAATGAATAATTCAGATCCAACAGAGTAATGAATTCTTTATTTTCTCCTTTTAAACAGTACACGTATTTACAAGATTAAACCTTGAACTGAATTTTACAATGAATTGTAAAACTGAAATGTGCAAACATTAACAGCTTTCATGGAAATTTTTTTATAAAATTAATTAAAAATAAACATTAAGAATTAGTAAAACTATTTGATATTTATTAATGAACATATTTGTGAAAAAAAATTAGCCTCAAAAATTGTCACACTTTTGTAATGATCCATTAAAACTGACATGTGTTCACTTTATGATAGCCTAAAAACATACTTAATATAGCTAGCACATAACAGGTGTCAATTTACAATAAATCTCAGAAAACATGTTCATATATATTTTGTATTAACAATACATACAACAATCATGAGTGGAATGAATAATATGTTGAATTATAAATAAATATCAATGAAGCATCAAGTGTATTATTTGCAAAAAGCAATAAAACAACAGATTCGCAAAAATATCAGCTATATATGACAGCCAGCCAATATCAGAAGTTCAAAGAAATCTTTTAATACTAAAAGATATTTCAAATGCACATGTACAGTTTATACTACAAAAAAAAAAAAAAAAAAAAAAAAAAAAAACAAGATAACAAATTCTTAGACACATTAATATTTTATTCACTTCATACTTTATTTTCTCTAGTGGAGCACACATGCAGTGCTCATACTGTAACATAAAGGAACAAGATAATAAAAAATTCTTACATTTACATTAATTTTTTATTCACTCCTTATTTTATTTTCTCTACTGCAAGCAACAAACTCACATCAGCCATGTGGATAACACTGTATCACTACTATTTATAACCATTAAAGTTTCTAAATGCTATAAAACTGGAATTAAGAAAGACAATGGGGGGCATGAATTTTTATAGCATACCGAATCTAAATATTTTGTAGGTTTATGCAAAAATAACAGCTGAAATTCTCACAACAGCCTAAATGAATATATTATTGATTTGTTTCCCGACAGTTTGAAGGAGTTATTTCTTTCCACCATGAATAGGGAAATAAGTATTTTTGTATTTCAATACCATCTCTAGGGGCAGGTACTTCTAATTGACCAAATGTGACTGTAGGTAAAGGATGAGCTATAAGCTCTGGTGGAAAGCAATTTAATTCTTCACATGAATTTGGTGGAAGCATTCGGTGAATCCATCCAATTCTTCTCATTTGACGAGTTATAGGGTCTTCTTCAAACACAGTTAAAGTAGCTGACGGTACAGTTTCACCAAATTTAAAAACTGTATAAAAGCCTCCAGCAGAGTTATAAGTTATCGAAAGTCCACTGTGCCTAAATGATCGAGCTAAGAAGCCTTCATCAATGGCAGATATTTGCTTGTTTAGTACACATAGTTCTAAAGCATTCTGCCATGGCAAAGGCCCTTTCATTTTTAAAGCACCCCATAAACTGTTATAACATAAAAAGTAAGTCAAATTCAGTGCTTTCAAAGGGTCATGTATTGCAATTAACAGTTTTTCCACTTTTCTTAAATCATCTTCAGGTAGAAAACACTCAGGTATATCATCCTCATCAGCACTCCAGAAAATATAATGTGCAACACACAAAACAGCAAGAAAAAATATCAAGCAGATGAAGAATCGCTTTTGTTGGAATCGGATAATTTTCATAACTTTTCACACAGCATTATGATCAGTACCTGAAATTAAGACAACATTGAGTTGCAAGGGTACTTAAAAAACACCCCAAGAACAGCAGGCCCAAATATAAGATAATCCTATATTTTTTAAATATACTTTACAAGGAAAAAAGGAGATCTGCATATAAAATGACCTCATGCAACTTGATGTATTTTATATAAAATTTATTTCAATAAGTCATCTCCCAGTTTATTGAGTAATAAATGGGGAGATATCCAGAGTTAATCCTAGGGCAGTTAAAAGAACACACACAGAAAAGACAAATAATCTGTATTATAATTAACAGAAAAAAATTAACAATTATTAAAAATTACATTCAAGTCATTTAATAAGGGAAATACATAAATTTAATTAAATCCATACTTAAAACAAAAGGAACATGCAATAAATAACACAAGTATAAACAGAAATAATGAAATTAAGTTTTAAGGGATTACAAAATTGTTACCACTGTTGATATCCACACATTTTCCTTTTTGGTTTTGCATCCTTTTTTTATTTTACACTGATGGTTTGCGATTGTAAGTTTTTCATCATATCATAATAATAAAACTACTTATTTTAGAAAAATTACACTTAGTCTGTCCTTGGTTAACCCTTTGCGGCACGGTGTGCCCAATCTGGGTAGACCTAAAAATTTCCTTCTGTACACACAGAAAAATTGAATGGAAAAGGATTTGAAGGTTACCATAGGTTACTCTGAACCTTCTTTATTTATAGTAGATGGCAGCTCAACACAAACCAGTCCATATATTTTAGCCATGTTTAGTTTTTTTACTCTAATTTTTCAAAGAAATCTTACAGATTTTTTTTAGGGTATAAAAGAAATTGTTTGAATGGAAATTTCTATGTTATTTTTTTGGCTGTTTGCTAATCTCCTTATTCTATATTAGTTTAAAATTTTTACCTTGCCTAAAATCAAATGGTGAACCAAGGTACTCCCAGACTGGGCTCACTGTGAATCTAGGTCACTGAGAGGCAGTTGTATCTTTGTTTTTCTGCAGCTCATTAACATAGAAAGGTGGGTCCACATCTGTGCTTCATTTCCTGTTTTCTTCTTTCTTCTTTCCCCCCTTTTTTCGGGGGGGGGGGAGGTTTGGATATTAACTAAGAAATCGTTGGGGTGATTTTCTGAAGGTCAGGGATAATTTTATCAGTTAGCTGTTTGGTTTTTCACTAGAGCAGTTCTCTTTTTCTCTTTCACTTTGGTTCAAAGAAGTTTTCTTAGCGCTACGTTTAATAGTTTTGAGTTGTAGACATTTATATTTTTATTTTATAGTTTTTAATTTCAAATTATAGATATAATATTAGTTTATTTTTTCGGATTTTTATTTATTTTCAGAACGGATAGGAGACCATTTTTTACACGAATTGCTTTCAGATACGGATCCCAGCACATATGCAAAACATGCAATAATAGGTTGTGCTTTTTTCAAAGGTGGTGTCACCTTCTTCGAAAAGTACCACAATGAAAAAATAGACTAAAGTGTAAATATGAAATGTAAATATTATATACCCAAGTTACTTTTTTCTTCATTCATAAGCATGTAATCATATAACCAAAAATGAGAGCTTTTTCAGGGGGTGTAGAGTAGCAGATCTCCCCGTGGCATACCATGGGTAATGCTAAATCTGCCATGGTATTCAGAATCTAGTGTTTTTTAATCGTAGGCAAAATCTCTTACTCTTTTATGCGCTTCCCAGCAATGCTTGTTTCAGAACTCTTTTGGAAGCTCTATTCAATCAGTGTGCCCGCTTCGGGCACACCCACAGAATTAAAACGATAAGTGCTATCTTTACAAAATTTTACTTGTGCACTCCTCGGCCTAATTAAACCACCTACCTTTTTTTTTAAATCAAAATTTGAACTTTAAAAGTTAGCATGCCGGAAAGGGTTAACTGAGGGTTGACTATAAGTGACAGGGGAAAAAAAAGTAAATATGCTTTCTTTTAATGTAACAGTTTAAAGATAAGTGAGTTTTAGATGCTATGCTATGTAGATAAGACGGCCAGCTCTTTCAGAACAGCATTTTTGAAGGGAATAAAATAGCTTTTATTTGAGCTAATATGATAATGCATTAATTATCAAGACAACTACAGCTCAGCAAGACAGATACATTTTTCAGTAAAATTAGCACAGTTAATTAAGAAAAGTGCTACACATTCCCTGCTTTATACACATTTATTTATCATTCCAAGCATTTTAAGAGCTCTTAACAACAACGGCTGAACAAAAATTTATAATACTTCATTGTAAGTTAAGATTTATTTCAGAAGTGTCTCCTTCACTGTAGTCTTTTTATACATATTGATAAGTAATTTTTTTTACATCACTGAATTTAAATCTGTATTTCTATGGAGGGGGGTAAACTGCATACTTATCTCTTAAAATATGAATCTTTTCCCAAGGATAATATCTACTTTTTTTAGCATTTATAATATCTTAATTATGGTCAAATTAAGTAAATATGCATTTGCAAATCTTACTGAAAATACAACTGAAAAGATTTCCAGTTAGTTAAAATTCAAAATAAAATCAAAATTATCAATTATAAGGCAATCACTTTATATACGTATTTTTTGGTACCGTTTACAGTATTGGCAATGTTGATTAGTACAAAGCAGTTTTGGTTGTTGATATATTTTAATACATTTTGCATGTTATGGAGTTATTACATCTAATGATACTCGTATATGGTGCTAGGAGAAATTTTTAGAAGAAACAAGCTTCTCCTCCTACTACTGGAGAATTCCTAGCTGAAACAGTTTGACTGGAACTGACATCTTGGCTAGCTACATGGAACATTTTACAACCGAGATAAAAATATTTTGTTTAAAGCTCTATCCTTTATAGTTTTTTCCTGAAGAACTGGCTTTCAAGAAAGTAAACCAAACAGATATCTCAAAAGCACATCTTCTTTTGACATGATGTTGACGGTAGGTAGTATATGTGATACCAGTTTTAAGAGGATGGATGGACTGTTGAAATTTACAGATCTCAATAAATAAAATTTAAGATATTAATAACACAGTCTGAAGCTGTTTTTTATTTTCAAATAAACAAATCATAAAAAAAAGGAAAAGGCTATATTATCTTTGATCTGAATATTTTTTTTTTTTTTTTCCATTTAGATTCCACATTCTGAGATATAATAATATACAAGTGCTCTCTTTTTTTCTTCTATAAATGGCAGAGAATAAATATATGATGGATATACAGCTAACTGCGTGTATGTTTCCAAGTGCGTGAATAAGTATTTTAGCTCTCTAAGTGTATGAATGAGATGCAATAGAAAATTAAATAATATTATCATTCCTAAACAATATATTATGCATCCATAAATATTTTGAATTTCATGCCATAGTTTCCACAAATGACATCAATAAACCTACTGACTGGACTAAGATATTAAAGATCATTTAGATGAATTTTGATTGGAACTGCCAAGTGTTCAGCCTCTTTAAATGTAGCTTCAAAACATATATACATCAGTGAATTATTTAAACAAGCTTCATTCTATAAAGTAATGTATCAGTCGCATAACATTGATTTTAGTAATATTCTTGGTTTCAGAACTTAATTATTTAGGGCATATTATGAATTTTTTGGTTCTCTCTGATTATCTGCACTCTCCTTCAAAAGTATTCCATGTAACCAAAATAGGCAATTAATGATATTGCCAAAATGTATTTATATGGCACCCCAGATATGCATTCAAATGCAGCAAATGAGAGCTTATTTACACCTTCAAATTCAGCACATCTTTTTATTAGTGTCTGTTATTGTTGCATTTGAGTATACTTTTTCCCTGTAAGGGAATTTCATTGGAAGATTGCCATCTGATGAAAAAATAAGCATTGCATTTCTTCAGAAATATGGTAGTTTGGTCCAAAAATAGGGAATGCAAAAATTCACACTAGATGAAGTTAAAAATTATTGAATTTTATAGCTCAAAATTTATGTGCGATGTTGAATTTGTGCAATTTTCTTATTTTTTTTAATTTTTTTTTTAAGCGAAAAAAGATTGCTGTGTATATGGGGAACACAACAGTGTGCGCAGTGACAAGTTGTGCATGATGCTCATTGATGTTCACTCATTGTCATTCTTTCTAGAAGTATAATTATGAGTTGAAAGCAAAGAAAATTTATGAATTATATTTCTTACATTATTGCAAAGATTAGAACATCTTTCAGTTTCAGTCTATTTAATTATTATAATCAGATTTTAAAAATGATGAAAAAAAATTACAGTAGAAAATACTTTGTTTTCTAGCTAGAAAAGAATATTCAGCACATCTCAAAAAGTTTAAAATCCACATACTTTCCAACAGTGACATTAATTGTTTATTTAGGGCAATAATTAAACATGTGAAATCATCATTAAGTCACTTGAAATGTTAATTGTAATCAAAAGCAAGCATTTAAAAGAAAAAGGCATAAATTTACTGCAGACATTTTAGTCGCAACACCTTAATATTTCTAAATTTTAGCATGTGGTCTCTACTGACAGTCTCACCACCACTAATCTGGAGTCTTTCATTAGCCAAACTAGCTTTCACAAAATTCTTGAAATATATCTATGAGAGTATAAGTATGAAAATTCAAACTTACTCTGCATTATATATGCTAATGGTTTATCCACAGAACACTTTCATACATCATTAAAGAATGATAGCCTGCCATGCTCACTGTGCAGCTAGCTTTCACAGATACTCATCATTATATATACTCTGCTTGCAGACAAAGCCATTTATAAGAAAGGGAAGGCTGTTTGGTATGTATTCCGAGTTGGATTGTTCACCGTTTTCCCAGCACATCAGTGGATTGCTAATAAATAGTGCCTCAATGGGTATAAATATTGAGAGTCCAAAACAAGGCAACATTCATTATTTCAAATAATAAAAGTATGGTAAATATATAAATGTATTCTTAGTTTAATGTAGCATTTCTCTAACTGTGGTCCTAGAAGCTTGCCTTTGTGATCTTCTCAGAATTGCAAAAAGGCCTGTTATCTGTAAATGTCAGATTTTTTACATTTCTTGCTGATGACATGTGGCCAAATACACTGGCATATCTTTCCCAAAATTAATTATTAAGTCAAAGATTTACCAGACAGAGACAATAAAATTATTTGACTTTTCTCAATTCCCATGAAAAATTAAAAGGGTTTGAGCAGAAACTTACTTTGTGTGGTAGTTGTGTAAAACAGAGAAGTTTCTACCATTTCCAATATTAGAATTTTTTAGTAGAAAACTACATTATTATTGGAAAAGAATTAAGAATGATATATATTCATGTTTTGAAATGCTGAAATCACAATATGAAGTGGTAAATATAAAGAATTTTCTAGGATTTTTTTATTCTTCCCATTGTGATTTTGAAATTAACAAACTGTCATTGAATGAAAGAGAAAAATTAACTGAACTCTGTAATGACACTGGATTTGAAATAAAATTCCAGGCAGAAGGTATAGTTAATTTCTGGACCTCATTACCAGTGAAGAAATAATTTAGTGAACTGTACATAGTGCTTTAAAATTATAATTCAGTTTGCTTCTATGTATCTGTGCAAGATAAATTTTTCATAACTAAATCAAAAAAGTGAAATCGATCTGATATCTCAGACTTAAGCTTACCAGTATACCTCCAAAAATGGAACAGCTGAGCAAGAATTCACAGGCTCATCAATGTCATTAATGCAAGTATCAACATTTATTTAATTGTTAGTTATTAAGATTAACTAACAACTAACAGCCTTGACACATGTTGTTATTGTGATTAATCTCACTTGTCTGACCTAATCAAAACAAACCCATGAATTTTATCAAGGCAAGGAATACAAGGTTGTGTCTGTTGTTGGCAAGAGTCTTGGGCTCTATAGAGGTGACACTACAATTTTGCTCAGTTTCATCCAGATTCTGAGGGAGAGCATACCAGGGGGTGGCCTAGGGGTATAATGACCCTCTTCCTCTACCACCAAACCACATGAGATGACTTTCAGCTTACATATGTTTAGAGTACTCCACTGCCACAAATACACTATACATTTACAACATTCATGCCTTCTTCAGGATTTCAACTCGGCCCTTTGGTATGGTAGTCAGAGTTACTAAGAACTATCCCACTGGGTAGCACCTTGAATTATTAAAGATAAACATATCTTTTCTTTTATTAACTTAATACCAATATAAAATTAAATATGTTTTAATTAATATGTATGCTTGCATTTTTAAAATACAAGCATACTGGTAGTAATATATGCTAAAATAATCACTTTCAAAGTGGACAACAGCAAGGTTGTCTGTAAAACATTCTAATTTATAAATGTGGTCTCTGCTAGAAAAAAATGACTAATGCTGACTTAATGCATTCATTTGCATCTTTAACTGCCAAAAATATTTCTCATGAGTTATGCAGAATGGTTCCTGCTCTAATAAATGGAATTTTGGTGTATTACAGTTACTGCAAAAATAATTACTTTGAAATTTTGGTGATAGATTTGTAACTAAATGCAAGACATTTTTGATAGCCGTAGTTCTACAACTGCCACAAAAAGAGCTATGGAACTATTTCCTATACTTCTTTCACATAAATTGAATTGAGCAAGACAGAACTCTATATAAGATATTTTACAAAAAATGTTCTGGTGTCTGCTCAAGACTTCAGTCAGAAAACACTTTCTGTTTTGTGGTAAATTTTCCAAAAATATCTACTACTCAGACTGAATGTATATAGCATTTTGAATATTTTATCTTTTCACACACCACTTGGCTACTGTTGTTTCTTCTTAGTAATGATAGAGAGAATATAATATGGAGTTTTTATAACAAATGCTATTCTTTTTCTCTTTTTCTTCCTTCCTTTCTTTTTTTTTTCTTTTTTGTATAACACCATGCAAGTTCATTTCATGATTCTTCCCCCAGAACCTAAAGTGTGGCAGAATTTCTTAATCACTAGCAAACTTCAGATATTAGCATATTTATAAGTGAAATATAAATTAAAAAAAGAAAAAATGAATATCATTATAGTGAAGAAGAGAATTAAATATTTAAATATAAAAGACAAGAAAGTGATAAAAAATCACATGAATAAAAAAAAGGTTTGGTATACTAAGGGTTACTATCACAGGCGATTCATCACAACTGCCCTAAAACTTTCACAAACACACATACAGAAGGTTTTCTTAAAATGATTATTAAGTTACTTCTGCCTCAATCAGTATGCTACAGTAATGATTATCAAGCTTCATATTTTTCTCTTTAAAGCGAATACTTTAACTGTTTCATTATGCTTAATAAGCAGAGGTGGTACTTAAGTAGAGTAGTAGCGAGCTATAGGAGGCATGTGAACCCTTTGGTAAATTTATCTCTAACTTGCAACCCTTGTTCTTTTAATGTGCTTGTTTATTTATTCCCAGTAAGATATATGTCTTACAGGTCCTAATCATACCTCTACAAGTAATGCTTGAAGTCCATAAGAATTTTCTGGAAACTGTTTGACAAATTATTTAATTGCATCTTATCACGATGAGTTAATGTATTTACAAGCAAGAAGAAAATGGGAAGTTCCAACCACACTTCTATCAAAATCTCCTAACATTGTAACTTGGAATCACATACAACATCATTTACAACTAATATTAGATAGTTTGATGAAAAACATTATTAAAGTTATGGATTTTGATATACTTCTTGATAAATTATATACTTTTTATCATCAGTCCCTTTGAAAATCAATGAGAGTGAAATAAAGTTGTTAAATATCTAGATATTAGAAATCAACAAATCAAAATTTGTACCTCAATGGGCAGTACACAGTTTACAAATGGCCTTTTTTAATTAAATTATTAATTGCATCTTATCACGATGAGTTAATGTATTTACAAGCAAGAAGAAAATGATAAATTATATACTTTTTATCATCAGTCCCTTTGAAAATCAATGAGAGTGAAATAAAGTTGTTAAATATCTAGATATTAGAAATCAACAAATCAAAATTTGTACCTCAATGGGCAGTACACAGTTTACAAATGGCCTTTTTTAATTAAATTATTAATTGCATCTTATCACGATGAGTTAATGTATTTACAAGCAAGAAGAAAATGGGAAGTTCCAACCACACTTCTATCAAAATCTCCTAACATTGTAACTTGGAATCACATACAACATCATTTACAACTAATATTAGATAGTTTGATGAAAAACATTATTAAAGTTATGGATTTTGATATACTTCTTGATAAATTATATACTTTTTATCATCAGTCCCTTTGAAAATCAATGAGAGTGAAATAAGGTTGGTAAATATCTAGATGGTCGAAATATTAGAAATCAACAAATTAAAATTTGTACCTCAATGGGCAGTACACAGTTTACAAATGGCCTTTTTTATGAGTGAAGGAATTATTTAGTATCATAGGAGGATTTTCCTTCTAACAATTACTATGACAATTTTTTTAACCAACTCCTAAATTTGGAACTTTTAAAAGACCTGGCCCTGATGATCGATATCCTACAGGAATTACCACATGTGTCAGAAACTTTACAAAGTTGAAATAAAAGTTAACTTCTTACTTCTGAGAATAATCAACACCAGTAATAATTTAAAATATTCTCAAAGCTGTTGTGAATCTATAACTAAATCTTTTTTATAATCAAAGGAATCCAAAAGTTAACAACTGAAAGCTAAGAATAACAAATTATCATGTGAAAAATTACCAACTCTGTTGTGATTTCGTTGCAAAGTATATTATTTTATCAAGTAATCAGAAAGCAAAGTGAAGAATTAAAAGGGATTTTTAATATTTGTTATCCAATAACATGCAGAAAGTAACTTGTTCATGGCTGAAAGATTATAACATTGAACTTCATATTATATCATGAAAAACAATTTTTCAAGATCTTGTACAGATTGGCTTTATTAGGAAAACTGTAGAACAAAATTCCTAATAGTGTACTAGAATTTATAATTCATTACATAGATTATTATCATTAGGAGCACTGAAGAAGAGCACATTTTTGGCCTGATGAATAATATTAGTACAAAAAGATCTTTGACTGCACAGTCTATTTCAGATTTAATAAAAATGACCTTAAATGAAAAATATTTAAGATAATTTAATCTTAAACCTCTGTGAATACATTTAAAAAAAGTTATCACCTAACCTTACAGCCTTTAAGATCAACAGATGTGAAAGAAGAAAAGAAGGTAGCATCTGGAATAAATTATATAGCATAATTTACTCCTTTTTTCAATTTTTCTTTTTACTTATTAAAGAATTTTAAATATTTTTTAGTTTTGGAAAAATTATTTGTATTTTGCTTTTTTTTTTTTAAACAAAACAAAGTGTTTCTATAAATATGCATTTTGTTATAATTTTCATAGTTCAATACTGGCAAAAAGAAATTTAACTCAGCAATAAATGCACAATTAAAATCTCTCTGCAGGTGGCCAACAATATTCCTAATTCAAAATTTACCCAAGTCTCATTAATCAGAGGGTACAAAGATTAAAATATGTATAATAACAGTATGAAAATTTAGAGGCATTTTACAGTTATTTAAATTTCCATACAGAGAACAAGCATTATTCATAGTCTAAACCTTTCTGCAGCAAAAAATACATAATGTTCTGCAGAGAACTTATTACATTACTTTGGGAAATAATTAACGTAACCGTTTTTACTATACAACTTCCCAAAGAAATACATGAACGGTTTTTCTACATAACAGCACAGAATCATACAATGCTGCTACGAAAATTCTGATTTATGACAGTACCATTTAAATTAAAAGTATTAAATGGTTTTGTCCGAAAGGCGAAAACTGCGTGAAGTGCAAAAGGCATGTAACGATAGGCGACGAATAATTTCATGCAAAACATAAAATTTGAAAATACAGGCGACTTTGAAAGGATATTTGCAATATTAAATTATGCTAAGGCGAAATTACTTGTAGCACGTATTATGATAATCTTATGTGTGAGGTATCTATGTCATTTTAACAAAAGTAAATAATATATGAATATTAGAAGGTGAAAATAATACCATACTTTCATATACCCAAAGCAATTTTCATTAGAAAATGAATTTTGTATGGTAATAATGGACTTACATATCAAAGATAAGTAATAAAGTCAATGAGGAAATTTAAATTATCCTGTAACTCTAACGCCAACTAAAGTACTACGACAAAAATTCTGTTTTGGTTCACCATTTTGTTAATGTTTTTGTCCGAAAGGCGAAAACTACGTGAGGTGCAAAAGATATGTGGCGTTCCGACAGATACTTCAACTTCTATTCATGAGATCGCCACGTGTAAAATCCAGTTCTTAATCGGAGCAGAAAAGCGACGTCATTATTCACTCAGACTTCTCGTCAGACAACTGCACGCGACGGTAGCATGAACTGTGTTCCGAGCTCTGCGTTGATCTCTGCAATGTAATTTAAATTGTAATTTAGTACTTAATATATATTCTTTTATTATAGGAGATTGTCTACTCTTATTTTCTTTAATTATATCATGCATTAAGCACACGACCACCAAAGACATACAACAATTGGCGACGAATAATTTCATGCGAAACAAAAATTTGAAAATATAGGCGACTTTGAAAGGATATTTGCAATATTAAATTATGCTCAGGCAAAATTACCCGTAGCACATATTATGATAATACAATAAATATCACACACCTTCCACTGTTACTATGAAATCAAGCACTGAGAATATCTGTTTAAAACTCTGCGTTACGTATCATATCCCTGAGAACAATTCATTATTTTAGTAAACAGAGCGCAACTAGTTTTGATGGTTGTAACCACGGTGGTTTTGAGTGAATAGTTGCTTGCTCGTGTCGCCATCTAGTAGGAAGTGCACTAAGAAGTGCTGCAAGCACACGAGTTTCGCATGTCCTTGAAGATGATAGTGGCCTTGGGATTCGATCCCTGGTCTGTTTAATGCGCGTTAAATTCTCTACCACTAGCGCAAAAGAGCTTCCATGCGCTAGATTCAATAATTCCAACTTTTCCGAATTTGCGAGCATTGAATAGCTCTCGAGATCGCTATAGTAAAATGGGAAGTAATTCATATGACCTTGCGAAAGTCTTCCTACTGTAGGACCTCTTTCTCAAAGGCCGTCTTCCTCTCAGATTATAGATCTGCTCTTTTGTTCTGCCTGTCAGGTTTCTGACAGCAATAGAATATGTGACCTAAAATGG